TCAACTCTAATATCAGCAGATGGCCTTGCACACATGTATCTCATAGCAGGAGAATGTCTGCATTCACACACACGGAATACTCATACAGTATACTGTACTGTGATTTACCGTACATTGTGACCGTACATATACTGCATGTAGCTAACGAGGCTAGCTGTATGCTAGTGCAAAACAATGTATTCATGCAAGTTACATTGTATGGTAGCAGAATACCCGTATACGATTGCAATTATAAACACGTTATTGCTAGCCTAATATGAACCACTAGCTTTTGTTCATAGTAGTTTTATTACACTGCATTATAGTTGCCTTTCCTCCAAGCTAACGTTCATATCGTGTTAGCTACCAAGGTAAACAAAGCTAGGTTAGCATATTAGCAGGCAAGCCGTTCATTACACAACTACTACTAACGAATCTAAAACAACTAAGTTTCTCTAATATTTTGTGATTTGCATTTGATTTCGTCCAGCCAGATCCTGGCGGACAATCCATGACGTGCTAAAAGGCACTTCTACTACTACTGAGGCGTCGTGCTAAAAGGCACCGCACCGACTGTGCTGCCTGCGAGGAGGAGGAATGGATGATATACCGTGTATATATGTATATTTATGTTCATTTTGTACATTTCTAAAAATAAAGTTTAATGGAAATACTTAGTAGGCCTATCCTTTCTTCCCTGAATTCATATATAGCAAACCATGATTTGATTTCTCATCAAACAGTAGTAGTTTATAACGGGTAAAAATAACTTACTCTTTGTTATGAGCGGCTCGTAGGCCACAAAGACAAGGAGACATACACGAGTTTACAAAACCACGGCACATTTATTGTGGTAAATGCAGAGATAGGTGGTTGAGAGGATCGCAGAGTTAGTCTTCCTGCAGCCGCTTTGGAGAGAGACTGGGGCCGTAGTGTCCGGAGGTGTCCGTGATCGTGCTGATTAGCCTCTTCAGCTCCACCCCATCGTAAGACAAAGGCCCTGGGGCCGTCACACTCTTCTATAACAACAGTTAAAAATATATATGTATATACAATATACGGCTGTGCCGACGCCATGATAAGACTGATGTTACGCTGAGAGCAGCCGGGAAAAGCACTGTTAGACATGGGCGCAGCCTCTCTGGTGGTTGACTAATCGGAACGAGTGGCCGAGCTGACCAATCGGAGCACACTAGGCTCACAGGGAGGGGGGGGCAAGAGCTCCAACGAGTCGTTTAGTGGAGAAAGTGAATACTGCTGAATACACATGCTTGACAGAGATGCTGTATGCGAAACCAATGTGAGTTTGGAAAATTGCACAGTATAAATCTATTTTAGTATACCTCAACAATGTAATTATGATCAGTGGAAATGGCCATGACATGGGCCCTTTAAGCTAAAATACGATAAATATTATTGTTTGTTTTGTTTCCAACATGTTCAATAAATTGACTAATACAATTTTGTTTTTAAAGAGCCGCTGTTTTGGTGATGGTGTTAGTGTGATGAGTCCATGTCAGGTCCTCAGTGATGAGTCAGGTCCTCAGTGATGAGTCCATGTCAGGTCCTTAGTGATGAGTCAGGTCTTCAGTGATGAGTCCATGTCAGGTCCTCAGTGATGTGGACCCCGAGGAACCTGTAGCTGCTGACTCTCTCCACCGTAGTCCCATTGATGGCGATGGGGGCGTGTTCCTCTCTCTGCTGCTTCCTGTAGTCCACAATCAGCTCCTTTGTTTTGCTGACGTTGAGATGGAGGTTGTTATCCTGGCATCAAGATGTCAGGTTTTCGACCTCCTCTCTGTACGCCGTCTCGTCGCCGTCGGTGATCAGGCCGATGACGGTCGTGTCGTCAGCAAACTTCATGAAATCTAAGACCATTTACATGTAAAACACAAAGTAAACATGTCATTTTACTTTGCAAAAGCCCAAGTTTACATTAACTGTCCGATGTTTTGTAGAAAAAAAATCAAATATATATACAATACATTATTGAAAATAATATACATCACAAAAATAAAAACAATAAATAAAATATATTTTAAGTAATAATAAAGCAGAATAGACCGGCAATGAAACATTTCAACATTTAACAATAGCCAACATTTTGTTCAAAAGATAAAAATTATAAACACTAAAGAAATCTACCAGTTATGTGCGTGCGTGTGTACATGACTGTGTGTGTGTTTCAACTCTCTCCATTCAAAGTCAGCGACGTTTGTAATTAATGACTGCACCTTTATCTTTATCGAGTGCTGTTTTTGTTTGTATTCCTTCCTCTCCACTCTAGTCCCATTGTCCGGATTGATCTTGAATAGGCACCTGTTAAGACAGAAGTACACTTACATTTAGTGTTTAATTACACATTCTGTGGATGATACAGCCATTAATTGTCTTTACACAGGGTTCTTACACCTTTTCCAAAGTCAAATTCAAGCACTTTTCAAGCATTTTCAAGGTGCATTTTCAAGCTTTTCAAGCATCTTACAGCTTATATACACATACTTATACTCAAATGATTATTTCCCTACCTCACATTAAATCAGATGTTCTTTATGCTATAAACAACCAAATGTGTGTTTCATAATAGCATTCTACATGAGGATGAAAAATTAAAAATGTTAGAAAAGAAAACTAAGTTTAATATTTCAAAATGAGTGACCCATCTGTACGTAGACTGGGCATCCCATATAACCTGGCTGAGCCAATATAAAACAATCAGCCAAATAACTTTTCAATATATTATTGATTACTATTTTTGAGGTACTTTTAGGTTGGCAGTAAACATAAGTCAGAGGTAAATGGTGTACTTTTACTCCACTACATGTATTTAATACCTTTAGTTACTTTACAGATGTGGATGAATGATGTGAAATATAATCAAGTGTTAAATCAGACTTTAGTTCCACCTGGAGTAAATTCACAAGCTACTCTGTAGTATACAAAGTCATTCAAACTAGCTGCACCTTTACCAGCTTTGATAACACTTTCATGATCAATCATTATAAAACATATCATATACAATTATTAGGGATGCTCCGATCGCCAATTTTGGAGCCGATCGCCGGAATCAGTATCGGCCGATACCGATATCGCTCTCTTTTCCTCTCTCCCCGTCTCTCTCTCTCCTGACAGCCCGTCAGTATCTCCTGCAGCTCACTGATCCAGTAATGAGCGACCCGACAGTGAAGAATAAATATATTTATAACTAGTTTAGCTTGTTCCAGAGGTAGATAAAATAGCTAAGTGTGTTAGGTCTAACTCTTAATGTGTGTTCTGCTCCGCTCACCGGTCCGTCACAGCGGGTGGAGCTGCAGGATTTCTGCTTCACACACACGTTGCATACCGCTATTTTACTGTCATTTTCGGACACTTAAAATACTGCCAGACTAGTGAAGCCATTTTGGCGAGCTTGTTTTGCCGCGCACAGAGAAAAGTGTCATGTATTTTACATGCAACGATAGCCTAATCTAAAATGCTCTACGATGGCGTACCTTTCGTGTGGTGTGTTGCGTCAGCGCAGACTCTCGCATCGTTGCACACTTTGCAGGAGGCTACTCTTGGGCTTCGCTTGACCCTCGTCTTAGCCATGGCTTGTATTTGTCTTCTGCTAGCCAACGCTCGTTGAAACGGCAACCTCCTGGCATACTGTCATCTATCACTCTCATCAGAATGCCCAGGTCACACACGTAACAAAAACACTTGCCGGTCACGCGCATTGCGCGGGAAGGCCGGAGCGGAGCTGTTTTATGTAAAAGCGAAGCAATTAAGCGCGCTCCGACTTCTTTATTTTCTTTTAATCTAAAAAGCGAAGTAAAGCATTTACAATTTCAAGCACTTTATCCCAAATTCAAGCACCATTCCCAAAATTCAAGCACTTTTCAAACCTTGAAAACACCTCGTACAATTTCAAGCATTTTCAAGGATTTCCAGCACCCGTACGCACCCTGTTTACAGTTATACAGCTTGAAGTCAAAGGGCAATGCTACTCTTAAATGTACTTTTCATTAACTGTTATGATCATATCTGTGCATTTAAAGCATTGGTTTGAATAGATTTTGTTATATAAAGTCGTCACTTGGCATCACTATCACACTGGACAGTATCGCAGCAGGTCTGTAAACAGGAGCAAGCGGTCACTTGAAGATCATTTGAATGTGGGTAGCTACGAGTCCCATCTTGAGAGGTTTGTGTGTAACTGGGGCAGATGAGGTGCGTGTCAGTAGCAGAGTGAGCGGTGTAAAAGCATCGTAGTTAACCGAAATAAGTTTTAATGTGTTTGTTCACTGCAATAATACCAGGTTTTCTTTTGTTGTCGACAAAGGGCCCTCTTTCCGTCATTTTCATTGAGCTGAAGTAAACATACCACCGATTGGCTAAGAGTGAGTTTGAGCTTTTAGGGAGGAGCCAAAGCACACCACTGCAAAGGAAAGGGGTACGCTGAATTTACAACCCAAGACAAAACGAGAACATAATGCGAAACAGAATGCACCACAATAATCTTTTTATCTCGATTATCTTGTATTGTCAGGAGCACTTATCGTGTGTCAGAAATGTGCACAATCCTCTACTCTGTGGTTTAAGATGGAATTACTTAATAATTACAATTCAAGTCTTACCTCTGCAAGAACTCCAGGGTAGCTCCCAGTTCTGAGCGATAACTGATGTTGAGGCAGTAATATGCTGCAAACATCAGCATCAGGGCGTCGACAACATTCAGGACACTGCCACTGACGATGGTCTGGTCCTCTGCTATCATGTACTGTCCAGCTGTCAGGGGAGAACTCCCTTAAGGTACACAACAGGAAAAAGTCACAAAACATTTATAAATCCAAAAAATATTTAGTGCAGATTGTTTTGTTTTTTTACTGGTGATCACATGGCCAATTGTATTTTAGGAATGATCAGCTCCTGCAGCTTTATTTTCTTTCTTAAGTGTTTCCTAATGTTAACAGTGTAGAAAATGTCACATCATAAAGGGATAGTTTGGGTGTTTAAAGTGGGGTTTTATAAAGGTACTTATCCATAGTCAGTGTATTACCTAGAGTAGATGATGGCCGGCAGGGGCGGACTGGGAAACGGTGGACCTCTGTCGCCTGTCAGCGCAACTTCAATGATGCCGTTTAAAAACAGCAAACCGACCCGGCCGTTCGGTGATTCTACAGATGGTCAGTCCGCCCCTGCCGGTACCGAAGTGGGCCGAGTGGCCCGACCGGCCCATCGGGATTCGTCCCGAACGTCCCGATGGCCAGTCCGCCACTGATGGCCGGTATGCCCCGAGCTTGGAGATGCAGACAGGAGCAACCACCTGGAAGCAAAGCAAAGTACTGCTCTGGACAGGGTCAGCAGAAAAACATATTTTAGCCACCTCTTGATGATTTCCATATCCTTTCACTGTTTGCATAGCAATACCATATAGGACATTGAGCATTTATAACACTTGTAATATGGCAAGAAATCTTACTTGAGGATCTCTGGCTGCTGTTTATTCTTGGTAGGTTGCAATTACTGGTACTGCAGCTACAGTAACAGCTGAGGGAAAAAAAGAGACACAAGTTTGCACATGGTTAAGCAAAAATAACTTAAATAACACAGCAGCAGCTTTAAGGACAGTAATACCACTCAGAGTTCCCGTTAGCCGGTAATTACCGGACTATGACCGGTAAAATATGCTGAAGACCGGCAAATCTAAATCTCTCCGGTCAAAATGTCTGGTCAAAATAATTTCCCTTTAGCACAATACCGCATCAGTTGCGCCACTTATGTGACAGACAAGAATAGTATGTGACAGACAAGAATAGTCAATTCTAATGTCTAACATTTAATGTGGAGAAAGAGTGTCCTGTATGGGTTGATTGTACGTTGATCTGTTGGTAATGCCTCGGGGTTCCGGTGGGCATGTAAACAAATGCATAATGCTGCGCTATACTTTGCGGCCTCACCCGGTTGCATAGCGACGCTTATTGTTTAGGTGTCTTTTAATAAGCAGGTAGTCATATCATTAGCTAGAACCAGCTAGATCTGATCGATATGGACATAAACGCGAGTGAAGTCTAATCTGACCGGAGCAAGAGATCAGCTGCTGCTGACGAGTCGACACCCAGCTCTGCATGATCATCTGCAGCGGTGAGCGGAACAAAACACACACTTCAGGTTAGAATATCACGTAGCTATTTTAATTACCTCTCAAACTACCTAAACTAGTTATAGATATGTTTAGTTTTACTGTCGGGTCCAATAGTATGAAGCTGCAGCGTCGGAGGCTGCACTCTCAGGACCGCACTCCCAGGACCCTAGTTGTTTTGCAACATCGCCACCTAGCGGATTGGATGACCGCAAAAGTAGACATTGTAATGCATGAAAATATGTTTTTATTATTATTATTATATTTATTTTTTACAACAACAATTTGTTGTTAATATCAAATGTATTTTGTATGTCAGATGTAAAAAGATAGTCTTTTATATTTGTCTTATCAAATTTGACATACAACGTAAATATATATATATATTGTAGTAATAATGATATCATCTATTTATAATTGTAAATGTATATTGTATGGAGACATACATTTATTATATATATTTTTTTATTGTATTACATGTTCAAAATAAATCAAATCAAATGTGTCTTTGAAGAGGTGCTAGATTACTGAAAAACAACTGTTAGTGTGTTTATGCACCAGGCTGCAAAAGATAAACATGCAATTTGACCGAGAGGCATTTCAGTGCAGAATACATTTATTGGGCATAATTTCCACACTGTGGATTCTTCAATCTGCTGTTGACCACCTTCTCCTGGGAGATATCCATTCTGGCACTCTGAACACTGGCTGAAGGGTTCCCTCGAGCAAGCTTCTGGCCTCCAGAGTCCAGAAGGCAAACCTTTGGCCATGCCTTTGAAACAATAAGAACAAGAGGTAATCTAAAGTATTGCATAGGGAAAGGCTAAGGCATTGGTGCACAATTGATATGCATTAATAATCTCAACAGATATTGCCATCCAGAGTCTTACAGCTCTTGTTACTGATGGTCTACTGATCTGTAGATGGTTAACCTAATATAACTAACAGATGTTCTATTGACATGCTACTGAGTTTGTTGAGAGATTGTAGATAATCTACAAGTGACCCTCAAAATAAAGTGTTACTGAAATTAAAACACACATATTGTTAAGGGCTTTCATACCCTTGTATTTCAAAACGCTCCATGAGAATAATAATAACTGACTAAAACACCTCATGCAATATTGCAAAACATGTCAGAATTATGAGACTGTCTGATAAACAGTAAACAGGCAGTCAGCACAGTTAAGATTATTTACAATGAATTGAAATAGTAATACAATGACTATTAAAGAAGCATTTACACTGAAGACAGAATTTAGGCTCCTGCTGATTTAATGTAGCGGACAGACAGATCATATTGACATGCTTTTGTCATCCTTTGAAGTTTAATTAATTAGCTGACTATAATTAATGATCAGGGTTGGGAAGTTTACTTTTTTTAAATGTAGTAGGTTACAGATGACTAATTACCCTGTTAAAAATGTAATAAGTAATGTAACTGACTATGTAACTATTTGTATTGATATTCTAATGTTAATTATGGTTATTTTATGTTTTTTGTGAGTCACTTTGGATAAAAGCCTCTGCTAAATAACATAACCATAACATACGGTTTCATTAAACAAATAAACAAAAAGGCTAACAGTTGGTTTTGCAGCGAGTCATCATAGGCTAACAGATGACATTTAGCACGTGTTGCTTGTATTGCTGTCCAATTGAATACACCAGAATAGTTGATAACTTTAAACAAACAACATGATTCACATTACTCACACTCTTACTGTAATTAGTGATTAAATCAACAATTAATGTAGGACACCTAGTTGGGCTTGCCAAAATCACGCTACAGTTTCATTAAACAAATAATCAAATATGCTAACGAAACTAATGCTTTTGCCGAAAGCTATAGCTAACGAATAATTGTTTTTAGTGCCTTTAATACTGTTAGAAGCTATCATAAGCTAACAGATGTTTGTTTGTATTGCCTTAAGACTATCATAGTTAATGTTAGCTAATCACAATTCATTTCAAGACACCGGAATTGTTATTAATGTTAAACAAATAAAACTTTAAAAGCACTTCACATTACTCAGACTCTCTGCGTTGTCATTCATATTCAGGTCTCCTGCTCGCTAGGTGGCAGTGTCACGAAAAACTAGGGTCCTGGGAGTGTGGTCCTGAGAGTGCAGTCTCCAACGCTGCAGCTTCATGCTACTCGTCGGGTCACTCATTACTGGATCCGCGAGCTGCATGATACTGACGGGCTGTCAGGAGAGGGAAAGAGAGCGCTCCGTTTATTATTCCCGTGTTATAAGTTACTGTACACTTTTGAATAATGTAGTTAATCTACTAGAATTAGTTTGTTTGATATCGAATCATATCAATTTGTTTAAAAGCTCAATAAATAAGAAGACCTTTGACCGGCACTTTTCTCATTTTGTCCGGAAGATTTCAACTTTAACGGACATGTTGACCGGCAAAAAAATATTCTAACGGGAACTCTGCCACTTCAAGTATAAGACCTGAGTACTTCTACTCTTATTCAAGTACAAGATCAGAGAACTTCTCCCACCTCTGATTATAGCCTTAACATAGGATTTAAAAGATATGGATAATGTGCATTGTGTGTAACATTATGCCCACAAAAAAATCGATTATAAAACTAAGGATTGAGCTAACATTAGGAGTTAGTGACAATGTATGCTAGTTAGCTAGCTAAACTATTTATTAAATAATATTGCGAAAAAGTAACTCTGAAACATTCACTGCACATCAGCTCAGCCACTCGAGCACCATTAAAAAATTAAAGATTAACACCCTGCATAATGACGGCATAGAACAGCTCAATTTCAAAGCATGGTAGCTAGCTGCTACCGTAGCTAACTAGCTGCTACCTAGCTATGGTAACGTTAGCTAACATTACTTTGTTTTCGGTCGTTAAACAAAATGTATACCATAGCTAGGACTTTGACGTTTGCAATGTTTTAAGTCTTGAGTGTTTTGAATCCGTTGATAAATAGTTTTTACCGTTACCTCTGAAAGTGCTGATTCCTCTCCTCTGGGCGCGCCACGTGCAGTGCTCTTCACCTCCTGCGTGGTCTCTGTAGTAGAGATGGGCGAGTCCTGATTCATCCGGATTATTAACCTGGATTATTAACGAGTCTCCCCTCTCCATTAACCCGAGTCCTTGAGTCCCACACTTGGTGTGACGTACAAATTAAAACTATAAATTGCGTCACTCGCTACTCTCTTTATAACATGTAAAATCACATTACAACGTACCCCAAGTCCATCTACCTACCCTTTAGCAAGTATACAGGATAGCTGCCTGCCAGAAGTTATCGTTTGGCTCAGGGGAGGGGACGCGGATCAGTGAAACTTCCTGCAGACTCGTGGGGACTCAGAGGAGCCGACGGCTCCTAACCGTAAATAGCATAGCAGATCCAGCGATCCATACTCGTCATGTGCACGAGCATAGCCCCTCCTCCAGCACCCGGCTCCCGCGCTATATTATGCACGAGTCAACAGCAGACTCGCAGATTCGCAAATCCTGACTCGCTGTGCAACACACAGCAGATCAGACTCGTGCGGACTCGGAGCCGTATATAGCAGCAGATCCAGAGATCCAGCAGACTCGTCCTCATGCACGAGTCAACAGCAGACTCAGATTTGCCAAATCGCAAAATAACCCTTTTTTTTGTGATCAACATTTTTTATTAAAGCAAAATACACTGTGTAGCGGAGGTTAATATAACGTCAGTTTAATAGATAGATAGATAGATAGTACTTTATTGATCCCAAATTGGGAAATTGTTGTTGTTACAGCAGCATAAAAGGCATTTTACAATAAAACAAAACTACAAAATATACAAGAATAGAAAGAAAAATAAAATATAAAATATACATGTCGAAATAGAAAATATACATGCAGATATTATATATATATATATTCAAAATATATGGAATAATAATATGCTCGTGAAATGCAACAACTTTTCGGTTTCACCGATAGGATTTCTACGGTCTTGGTGATGCTGACTCATATGACTCAAATGACTCGTATGATCCGGATCTCTTCAATGACTGACTCAGAAGACCCTGAGTCCGTAAAAGGATCCGGATTTGCCATCTCTACTCTGTAGTATCAGTGCCTTTGTGCATGCGCTCTGTCTGCTTCAGTGCATGATGGGTCGTGCAGCAGAAGTCTCGTCTCTGATTGGCTGCAAATTGGATTTTATTTTCTTAATTTACAAAATGACAATGTAACTAGTTGATAAATAAAACAAACACTGAAGGCCTTCCAAAGACACAAGCAAAATATGTTATAAGACTTCTTTATTGTCAGTTTATTCTTTTAAATTGAGAATAGAGAACACTGATAACTAATGTTGGTGCACATTTATATAAGTTTGATTATGATCAGGAATATCCCATCTGTACTTTGCAGTCCTGTCTCAAGTACAAGTTAAGTAGGTATTAATCAACGTGTACATATCATTTTTAGTCATGCATAGTACTGCCTTCCTGTTTGCTTTATTTTTGAGAAACCTATTCTGCACCTACCTGGGTTTTAAGAGAGTCCAATACCCCATGAGACTGTTCAGTCTCATAAAACATGCTCAATTTACTTTTTGAAAACACAAGCTCACAATAAAGTCAGATGGGAGATCTACAGAAGCAAAGTGTGATAGACGAAGATGCATTCCTATATTAAACAAACAGAAAATACATCTTTGTTGTTCCACGAGGCAGTTGTAGCCATAGCAAATGGATTAACAAGTGAATTTATGTACTTAACCTTCAACTACCTGCTGCCTGAAATCCCTGTGACATCACTGTAGATTGTTGTAACCAACTAGCTGTGTGGTACATTATCACAATACATATTTAAGTTAATTGACTTGGATTGTAAATGTATTTCGCTGTAGTTACTAGCTTTGTCAACATGCTTTGGTGAAGGCCTATTCTTTCAATGTGATGCATTGAATAGTTGGATATTATTAGACGTCTAAAAGGACAACATTGTTCGTTTTACTGTAATTGCAATGCTAATACCAATTTAGCATAGTGGTAGCACTAACTGCTAACACGGTTTTGATATTCAGAGTCTGGCTGTTAGTGCATGTTCAATGTTATGGGCTAAATTGTACATGCTAGTGTGATAAGGCCTAGGGGAAGATGCTAATGTTATTTAACTTCTAGATCCTTTCATTTTTTACTTAGAGTGAAACTCAATATGTTTTTTGCATACTGTGCGCCAATCACTCTGTGTTTTAAATATTGAGTCACACATTTTAGAACATTGATACATTTCTAAAAGCTACTTTCCTAACAAACATGGTGCAGTTGTAGCAATCGCTACGAGAATGCACTCTGTGTTAGCTGCACAAGGCACTTTGCGGTAGCTTCACGTCTCTGATGATCTGAAAAGCTAAATGATGTCAGAAATGTACACAGCTTTTTCTTGTGTTGAAACAGATCAGCAGGTCAATGTTACTTGGGTTGTGAACGCACAACAGTTGGTTGTTTGTTAGTAGAGTTGCTTTACTGTAATCGCAATGCTAATACCAATTTAGCATAGTGGTAGCACTAACTGCTAACAAGGTTTTGATATTCAGAGTAGGCTGGCTGTAAGTGCTTGCTAGCATGTTCAATGTTATGGGCTTATGCTAGTGTGATAAGGCCTAGGGGAAGATGCTAATGTTATTTAACTTCTAGATCCTTTCATTTTTCGCTTACAGTGAAACTCAATATGTTTTTTGCATACTGTCTGCCAATCACCGTTAGCTGCACAAGTGACTTTGCGGTAGCTTCGCGTCTCTGATCATCTGAAAAGCTAAATGATGTCAGAAATTGGCACAGCTTTTTCTTGTGTTGAAAGAGATCAGCAGGTCAATGTTACTTGGGCTGTGAACGCACCGAACACCAAAACTGCTCCCTGGCGCCGGCTATCTGGCAGCCTCTCTGCGATCCCCTCTCCTATCCGCATGTGGTTGTGTTTGTGCATGTATATGCTCTGTGTGTTTGTGCATGTACAGTATATCCTCCCTGTGTGTGTAATGTGTTTAAACACAACAGAGTGGGGGAAGACATTTCCCTCTGAGTGATGAATACATTATATCTTCTTCTTCTTCTTCTTCTTCTTCTACTTAGAAATCATAAGTGAATGGTCACATTACGTTTGCCTGCAGTGAATGCTGACAGCTATGAGCTAGTTTATAGATGTATCATGGCATAGCCAAATGTCTCCTATATAACCCACAGGCTGTTACTGGTGGGTTATAGTATCATTTTATATCTGAATTGTGCTCTGGTAGGAATTTGCACCCAACATGCTAACAGTCAAGTTTTTTTTTTAACTTTATGGTTTTACACAGTTTTTATAACATGAAATTCACATATTTAACAATTAAATCTTCAAATTAATACAAATGTAGCAATAAAGTGAAAGTCAAAATGTAGTTTTTTTTTACTATAATAGGATAGTCAATACCTGTGTTTTTTCAGTTTATCAATGTAAAGTAGTGGTTAAATTAAGCAAAATTACTAAATATTTCTTTCTTTACTCATATATTTTCTTGCAATTATACATTTTTTAAATGAGTATTAACAGTATTTGTTATGTATTTGACAGTTATATATAGCCATAACAAAAGTATTTTTTAGTAAAATTACAGAAAATCATTTATTTTTATGGTTAGTTTTGTTAAATTCGCATTTAAAAACTGCTAAAAAACAGATAAATAATGTTTTTTTTTGTTAAAATATATGACACATTTCAATAAACTGTTTATTCTTGTAAATTGAATATGATTTTCTGTAATTATGAAATACAATAAAAAACTGTAAAAAAACATTTTTTTTTTACAGTGTGGAAACAGATTAGAAGAAGAACCATAAACACCTTATGGTGCGGTCAGCAAATGCCGATTTGGTCCTGCAAGAAATCTAGTATTGTGAGAGGATTATCATTGGGGAGTGATCCTGGACGATCCCCCCAAAAAGGAAGTTAACAAAAATGTCACCATAATTGAATTTAGTTGGCCAAACTGAAGACTTAACATGACATTCAAAAACAGGTGGACATGTGGCAGCTGAGGGTCTCCGGCTTGTGGCATGGCTAACAAAAGGACAAAGCATGGTCTGCAGCCCTCCTAAAAGCAGGTGACACATGTATGCCCCGTCTCCCCGAAGACGACCTTGGCCTTCACTCTGCCCACAGGCACTCTGTACACAACACATTACACAGACACACACCAAACATTGGACAGACCCAGGGTTGTCTCAACAGTTCATGTGCTTCTGTGTTAGTCCTGCTCCTGTGCAAGCTGAGGATATTTATGTGAAAGTGTTTTAAATAGTAGGCTTTTAGATAAAATACTGGAGATTGAAAAGTAATGACCGTACTTGAAGACTTAGATTACACTGCTAAAGAGCTTTTTATAACATGTAAAACATTTTTTGCTGTTGTGACGGCCCTTTCAGTCGAGCAGGGCTTGTTGATGTCTGTGTGTGTGTGTTCCCTACAGGTCCTGGTAGGCGTGGCTCCATCATCAGGGTAACTTGGCCAGTCTCCTTGTGGCCTTTAAAGTCGGCCATCTCAGTCCCTCCTGGCTTTCTTCCCCGAGGGACCAGCACCTTATTTTTTGTTGTTTTAAAGGTCTCCTATCATGCAAAATGCACTTTTTTAAGTCTTTTATACATAAATATGTGTCCCCGGTGTGTCAGGGAACTCACAAAGTGTCAGAAAACAAAACCCTCTCTCTTTTCTTCCTTACCCAAATCTCTAAAAACGGGGGTACAGCAGAGCTGATCCAGATTTGCGTCCGTTATATCGGAAATGTGGACCCACGGCACTCAGAGACAATGCGCAACGTGTTTTAGAAGTAATAAGGTCTTTGTTTACATTAGCAAGCATCGCTAACACTTAGTACAGCTAACCTGTACTGGAGAGAGTATGTGTAAAAAAGCAGGAAATAAAAAAAAGGAACTCACCTTGTGGTAAACCCGCAAGAGAAAAAGCATTTGAGCTCCATACTGTTTCAGAAATAATCCTTGAAGTGATTTTGAACATGATATGGCGTTTCATCACGGCAG